TTAATGCAAGGATGCAAGGGATAATATCTATTTCTATCCCTAATTTTATCATACAATGATTGATCCTAAGGTTGAGGATGAAAAGGGAAATTTCTACCCTATATTAGCATGCATGGATTACAATCGTAATGTCTAGCTCGCAAGCTACTCTAATCGAGCGATCCTAAGGGAAGCATGGTATAGAAAACAGTTGTACTCTAAAATTTTCCCTCTCATTTTATTCAAGACATACTCCTAGAGGTCCTCAAATGCTCAAGGTTGACCAAGAATTGACCAGACAAATTCTCCTCCTAAATAATGGATTTCCAACTAGGGATTCACTTTTAACAAAGAAGTTTGGGTTTCAAAGGCCTCAAGTGATTTCCATGGTTCATAATATGTCATCAAGAATGCTCATGCCAAGTTTCATGCCTTGCATCAAAAGTTTGCTCAGTCAATGGCTCAAATGTTTGAAAATTAACTTTATTGGTAAAAAAGTCAACTATGGTCAACATATAGTCAAAATTCAATATTTTTGGTCGACATCAACATCTTGAAGTGATATTCATCATTTTATCAGGGTTTGATCATGATTCCTCAAGGAAAGTCCTCAGATCATCAAAAGTCAAGATTTGCTAAATTAGGGTTTCTTGGGAAAGGTCAACTGAACTTTGACCAGGCACAACTTTCACATGTTTCATCAAATTTTCCCAAACCAAAGCTCATTTTGAAGAAAATTGAATTACCTACAACTTTTATTTTGTTCTCAAGTCCAAAAGATGCTTCATTCGGAAGATATGATCTCATACATTATAGGTCATTTTCAAAAGTCAACAAAAGACACTTTTTGTCAAGGAAACTTACATCAAGATAATGTATTCAAAAGAAAAAATGATCAAAATAGATATTGTAGAGGACATATTGGACTTTACAAAAAGTCATAGATCATCTTCAAAATATGAAAATTGAGAAAGTTATGGTTTGCACAAGTTGGGCAAATTTGTGAAAAATGCATGAAGTCAACTTTGAGCAAAATTACATTTTTAGGTTAATGGACCTAACTTTTATGGTCCAAACATGTATATGATATAACCAAGGACCTATAAAACTAACCATGCACTATTGTGATTTTTATTTCTATTTATTTTAGTTTTTATTCATTTAAATATGAATTAAATCAAATAAATTAAATAAAAATACAAGAATAATGGGCTAGTGCATTTGGGCTTGGCTTGACCCATCATGGAGCCCAATATTTCGTGTAAAGACCAACAAAAAACTATCCAGGTTCATGCAACATCAAGAATGGCAAGAATCATCCAAATATGACAAACTTTCAATATGTTGGGTTTTTGTCTCATGGCCTTGAAAGCTTTGTTTCTTTCCATACTTTCTCTTCTCCTAACTCTATAAATACATAACATTGCAAGCAAGAAAGAGTACGAAACTTTGCATGCAAAATCTCTCTAAAATCTCTCCAAAAAAACTCTCCAAAAGCTCTATACAAACTCTCCAAAAAAATCAAAGAATTGGCGCAAGTCATATCTCAAATTTACAGCCTCTCTCAATTGAAACCAAGCCTCGAGCCATCCTCTTGAAGTCCCCAGGATTTTTTTACAAGGCCCAAGATCAATCCATCACAAGCTTAGAATGCCCCCATTTGATAACACCGGTTTGGTAAAGTTTAAAGTTTCAAATCTCTGATTTTAAATCATATTTCATGGCATGCTAACATTTTTTTGAGTGTATATGAATCTATAGATCAGGTATGAGTGGAACTAAATGTTCGCATCATGCACCTCCAGTTCTTGACCACCATATTTCATTAGGCTAGATCCAAAGCCTCAAAGGCTCGTCCCCTTTGTGCACCCCAAGACGTTATCCATACTGGATCCGGCGTAGAATTAGGCTTTGTCCAGTTTGGGCTTTTAATTCTGCTTCTTTCTCACCCCTCATTTTCATTTTTACAGCACGGTCCATTTTGTCTTTTTGCTTTATTTATTTTTCTTTTATTTCAATTATTTTCCTTTTATTAAAAAATCATAAAAATTACAAAATCAAAATCACAAAAATATTAGAATTAGGTTTTATTAATTAAATTAATTTTTTATTAATTATTTTAATCATCTTTTTCTTAATTAATTAAACTAATTAAAATTAGGCTGTCTTAATTTTATTTAATCATTATTTTTCCTAAACAAAAAAAAAATCTTTTTCTTTTTAGCACTTAGAACTTTTTAGGACTTTCTTTCTCCGTGTGCTTTACTTTATTCGCATTATTTTTTCGCAAATATATGTAATTTTACATGGGATGTAATAGTTAAAATTAGGACTCTTTACATTTTCCCCCATTTTTTGGTTTGTAATTCCCCCTATCCCGAAGCATTTTAATAGCGTAGATTCAAATTTCCGCATTTTTATTTTCCGTACTTATTTTAACTGTTAGATGTATGATAATAGGTTTGTATGTAAATATTAAAAGCAAACATTATCAAACTTAACATCAAAGATAAATAACTGAAACACAACGCACTCGCACATGCGCATCTCTAAGGTACCCCCACTTGTTGTCTTCAGAATAAACAATCACAACTCTCGAATGTAAGAGATTTTAGTGGTGACCCTTTGGTTTAAAGATCATAAATCCCTCGATGACCCTTTCGACGTTGCCTCGGTATATGATCTTAAAACCTTAGGGTAACTACTAAAGTATCTTACTAGTTGCTTTCGTGACTGTACGATGACCGTCGCCCGTCCCTCAAAAATCCAATGATAGGGCTACCTATTCACTAATAGTAGGATAGCACTGTCTAAAGGAAAATAGGAAAAGAACAAACCTTTCGAGCAGGTAGATAACTCCTAGTTGCTTGCTCATAAAAACAATCAAAAACAATTTTTTCACACATACACAAACTCTTTTCTAAATATTTTCAAAGACAAAAAACACTTTGTATACGTTCTCACCGAAACGAGAAACATTACAAAGTTCACTGTCCTAAGGCGCCTTTTCAAAATATCTTCAGAATACACTTACAAAAAAAAGCATTTTCAAAGTGAGCTAGCAACTAAGAGCCCGTAGATAACTACTGATAGAAAGGGTGATAACACTTTCCCTTTCCCTAACCTACCCCCTTACTCAAAAAATAATCTTGAAAGGTCTTTCCTGTTCTTTTCACCCTGTCCTTTGTTGGATAAAATAAAATTCGGTGGCGACTTTTGCTAACCGCAACATTGTGCTAAAATGCAAAACCAGTAAAAGTCCATTCTCGCACCATATTACACAAACAAACAAGCAAAAAAGTACTTTGGAAGAAGCACACAAACATGAGTAGCATATACTGACTCAAAGGGATGGGGGAAACAAGAGAAATGCTTTAGCTAAGGGGAGAGTATCACCCGAAGCAAACAAGCGGGAAACAGATGAAATAAGAAAATGTGATGTCCAAAGCGACTGAACACCTAACCAATATATAGAAGATCGAGGTAGGCGACAGAAGACGATATCAACAGTCACAGAGTGTCAGCATCAGCCAATACGAACTCCTGACAGAGCATGGGGGTTTGATTGCAAAACCCTTCCCCACTTTACGAACACGATACACAAGACCTGAACGACTCCGAAGCATCGACGTACAATGTGAGCTAAGGATGACACAGACTAGAATGTGCGGGGGTCGATTATGAACCCTCACCGCTTGCCTCCTTTTGAGGACTTATCACCTATAATATTTGTGGGCACAAGAGTAAACACACATGCAAAATACCTACTTCAAAGGTAGGATTTTAAACAAACACAAATAGCATACATAAAGCGGTGCCTACTACAAGACTTTAAATAGATACTTCGAACGCACGCTCTTTATTTCCTGCTTCCTACTTCACATGATTTCTAAAAAGCGGTAAATTCCCCTACTATACATGATCTCTAGAAAGCGGTAAATGCTGAAATGAGGGAGAGAAAATACCAAACAAACAAAAGTTCGTAGCGCTGCTAGCAAAAACAGAGAAACTCAAAAAAAATTCAAGTAAGCTTCACCAAGCAAAGAAAATAGTCAGAAATCAAATGCCCAGAATAAGCGTCGAAATATCATCGACGTGAAAATAAATCACAATTTGAATCTCAATCACATTCGCACATCACACGATAAACCTAATTTAATTCCCAAAATCAAATAAAAAATCTAACCAATTTTTATATTTGATTTTATTATTTTTATCATGCAAAGAAAAACTCAAACAAGTCTAAACAATTAACAAAATTATTTAAAAGAAATTACTAAAATAATAAACAAGAAAAAAAAAACAAGCCCAAGGGGTGCAAACTGAATCCAGAAGTGGCATGCTGAAATAGCCTGGGCGCTGCAGGCCCATTGAAGAGAAGCCCAAAAATTCCCTTTTTTTACTCCAAAAACGGGCTCAAAAGGGAGGTGCAGAAATGATCTGGGGCATGCTGAAGAAGTCATGCGTTGAAGGCCCATCAGGCTGAGTCCATTAGCCGGTTTTTATTCTCAAGAAAAATGTGTTGCCCAAAAACAGGAAACGACCCCGGTAGAGAGGGTGTACATAGAATTCATGGACTTAGGTCCTATTGGCCCAAACCAATCTCAACATCATCCAGATCTTTTTCTTATTATTGGAATTATTGTTATTCAAGGAAAAAGCAAATAATAGAAAAAGAAATTGTGAAACGCATGCGTTTTGTGAGTTGTTAGGGTTCAACATTGTGACTCTTCAGCTTCAAGACACGCTCAATCTCCCTCACCTCGTGAACCAATAACGTTGTTCATATCAACCCCACCGCTCTCCTTCTTCTTCGATCAACGAACACGATCGTTCAGCCGCCGCAAGAGACTATCTCATCTCATCTCTCTCTAACTTATCTCTGCCTTAATCTATACATCCTCATCTTCGCGCGGCCTCAAACTTCCAAACACGGATTCACGATTCACCTCCCTCATCCACCTCATTCATCATCTCAAAATCAAAGTAAACAAAATGTTAGGCGGCTACAACAACGACGAATGAAACGAAACAAAACGAGAAAACAAGGATTAAGGCTCACCTGCCAGAGTCGCTCCGGCAACTCTTCTGCTGTGATAACGACGAGAAGACCAAATATATATATTCAGGTATACGCTTCAATCCTTCTTCTCTTTCTGCGATTTCGTTTTTGTTATGATTCTTCGTGTGTATCTTGAAGTTGTTGCAATTCGTAGGCATTGTTGATGGTGTTGCAGACCTACAAAGAGTTTCTTTTGATTTTTCTGAGTGTTTGAAGAATGAAGGTGAAGATTGCGAATGATAGCATTTGTTGCAGAAGCTTGAGAGAGGTTTAAGAACAATGAAGGTTGATGGAGAATCTTGAATGAATATTAAAAAAAAATAGTGTAGAGATCTTTTTGGAGTTTTTCTCGTCTGATTCTTTTACTGGTTTGGAAGATGAAGATGGAGAGTGAAGATTGGGAGAAGAGGAAGCGAGAATTTTTGTGGTGATTCTTGTGAAATTTGAGGGATGAAGATGATATTAGTTAAAGATGTAGAGAGAGAAGAATTTTCTGGAGTTTTTGTGTGGTGATTCTTCAGCAGATTGAAGAATGATTGAAGGTGTTTTTGTGATTCTTCCAGAAGAATGGAGAGAGAATCGTGAAAGGTGAGATTTTCTGGTTTATAGATTGTTAGAGTTTGTTAGGCTGGAGTTGAACCTGAGCTTTTGTTTTTTTTTAATAATGATCAGTGTGAATGAATCCTAAATATTCGTGAATCTGGATAATGATATCTTGTTCTCCTGAATCTATGAATTTCTGTTATATTACAGTTAAAGTTTGTTACAGGAGGATCCATCTTAGCCTTTGGTTGTGAGAGAGTCAGTTAGAAGATCGAGGGCCCAAATCAGTCAGGTAGGAACTGTTTTTTCTGTTAGAGAACTGGATAAAAGTTGTTAGTGTTAGAAATTCTGATTTTTGTATCTTTCCCTTTCTAATTTTCTGATATATATATATATATATATATATATATATATATATATATATATATATATATATATATATATATATATATATATATATATATATATATATATATATATAATTTGTTAGATTGTGAATATTCAGTTAGAGGTTGTTGTGAAATTAGTTAGGAGTATTTAGATTGTTAGTCAATTATTTCTACGGTTAGTTAGCCAGTTAGTTTATAATTCTGTTTCTGTTTTTATTGAAATCAATTATTGAAACTATTAAAAAAACTGTTAGTGGTTAAGGAAATTAGGAGTTAAATCATGCGTATGCAGGGCTGCATGTTTATGAATGTTTAAAGTTCCTTGAAACCGCATATGCACTAATCTGGTTCTGAATGTTGTTATAAGTTCTGTTTGCAGGTAAGTAAAAAAATTGGAAAAGTTGGAAATGGTTATAATGTTGGAAACTGTTATGGACAGTTAGTATGGTCATGGTTATTTATGGATATGCCAACTATTTTGGTTCTTGTATGCAGGGTTGTTTAGTGTCTGTATTGATTTTGGTTTTATTAGGACTGGTGCAGGGCAATGCGAATCTGGGCAACATGTTTTGTTTTAGCAGCAACTTTGGATTTTTTGGATATTGATGGAACAATAGTTAAAGGAATGTCCTCATGATGAAGCTTTATGACTAGGTTTAGCATATATTTCTTTTTTGTAATCTTGTATGAACATATGAATGTATTTCGACATCTTGTAGACTTTCATCAAATGATAATGATCAATGATGAATTTTGAAAGAATAGTGCCTGGATAAACTTTGGATTTCAAACTTTCCTTGATGTAATGTCCTTGTGATGGAAATTTCAAACTGAGATAACCTTTTGAATGATTTTAAATCTTAATGAAACTTTTGAATGAACCTTGCATGGACTTGGATGATGAATATTTGAGGATGAAGAATGATATTGATTCTTGCTCACTTGAAATTTGAACTAGCATAATGATGATGAACATAATGCTGCGTGGACCTTGAATGAATTAAAGATGAATTTGAATGGATGCATAAGGCCATGAATGATTATATTTGAAACTTTTAATTTTGGACACTTTAAATGAATACGATATATGCCTTTTTATACTTGAATTCTAAAAAATCCACACAAGTGCTTAAGAACGTTCAATTCACTTTGATTATTTTTGAACTTAAATCTTCTTCATATATCAATGAACAAATTCCAACCAACATGCATCTTTAATGAATCCCTAATTCCTTGCTTCATTGCTTAAAGAACCAGAAGAATCAAACTTAATTGATATGTACATCTCAAACTACCATGAAACCCTAACTTGTACACCCAATGAACTTTGAACTTCAGGAGATTTATGGAAATGCAAATGTATGCTATGAAGATGAATGCAAAAAAATAATCCAGATAAGAGAAATTAAGAGGGCAAATTTTGAGGTACAACAGCTGCCCCTATTCAAGCTTCTTCAACCTAAAGCGAGATTGGCAATGACAACCTTTCGAGCGATAAGGTGGAAGGAGATTGAATACAAAAATGAACTCAAAAATTTGCACTCTAAATTGAGATGACGTATCAACACAGGGTATAATTGTAATGTCCTTTTGGCCCTAGACTAAAGAACAAGTTTGTAAATGAGAGATAGGGATCAAAGACCGTGGAACTTAATCCAAAAATACTAGTAATGACTAGACTTTACAGAATTCCATAATGCTGCATTCAGAGAAAGAGATAAAGATTGAAGGGTGCTAGTAACAACTAGACTTTACAGAATTCCATAACACTGCATTCTGAGAATAGGTAGGCGAGTAATAACTCGATCCCACAGAATGCCAGAATGCTGCACTATGAGGAAGAAAAATAACGGCCAAAAGGTGCTAGTAACGACTAGACTTCACAGAATGCTAGAGCGCTGATGTGATACGGTGGGAGAACTGACTTGGGTGTTTTGCGTTTTATCGTAAATGTTGCGGTTAGCAAGAGTCTCCACCGACTTTTCTTTTATCCAAAAGGAAAGGCTGAAAAGAACATGAAATACCTTTGAGACTGTTTCTTGAGTTCGGGGGGTAGATTATGAAAAGGGAAGGTGTTAGCACCCTTTTCATCCATAGTTATCTATGGGCTCTTAGTTGCTTTCTAGATCACTTGCTTTTGTTTCAAAATGTGTTTTGTGTGGTTTTTGAAAGTATTTTGAAAAGGCGCCATCGTTTAGGAAAACTTTATAATAGTTCTCGTTTGTAAGAACGTATACAAAGTGTTGAGCTTTTTGAAAATGTTTCAAGTTTGTAAAAATGTTTTTAAAGGGTTTTGAAAGTGTTGGTGTTTGTTTTTAAAATAAGCAAGAGTGTATGATTTGAAATTGAGCAAGCAACTAGGAACAATCTACCTACTCAAAAGTCTTAATTCATTTCTGCCTTTCCTTTGATATTGTTATCTTACCATTGATTTGGTAAGAAGCCTTATCTTTGGATGTAAAGGGACGGGCATGGGTCATTGTATAGCCATGATAGCAATGTTGTGAGATATCTTAACATTTCTCTAAGATCATTTTGAAAGGCAACATTGATAGCATCATCGAGGGACTATGATCTTGTATTTTTTATTGCTTTTTGCTAAGATACCCCACATGCATAACATGTCCATTTTTGTAAGGCAACAAAGTGGAATAACCCTAAGGTTGCAAGTGTGCAAGTGTGTTTAGTTTACATGCATGTTTATCTTGAATTAGGGTTTGCTAACTTGTTGATTTTAGTCTTTCCATACAAACCCTAATTTACTAGCATTTATATAAAGCGATAAATTGCGGAAAGTAAAAATACTAAGCTATTACATCATTAGGGGAGGGGGTATACAAATTTATAAATGGGGATTTTTCAAGAAAAATTAAACCTAATTTATCTAATACAACCATATTGAATAAATATACAAGAATTGAAAATAAAAATGCAAAAATGCAAATGGATAAAGAAATGATTTTGTTTGATTTTATGAAAGGGTTTTAACCTAAACCTATTTAAGAAAATAATTAGTGAAAAATAAAAAAAAATTAAACCTAAATTAATTAAGAAGGAAATTAAGTTAAAAATATTTTCAGGATTTTTTATGAAAAGGTTTTAAATTAAGGAAAATAATATGGAAATTGATTAATTAAAATAAACCTAAGTTCTAAATTAATTTTAATTAAGAAAATAAAATAATATAATAATTAATCATAAGTCTAAATATAAAAGAAATTAATTTTTTAAAAGAAAATATTTTTGGTCTTTTTGTTTTATGAAGAAAAATAAAATATAAATGAACATTTTTAAATATGTAAATAAATAAAAAAATATTTTTTTGGATTTTTATTAATAAAAATAATAATGATAATAATAATAATAATAATAATAAAATAATAAAAGTAATATGAAAATGAAAATAAAATAAAGAAAAAGAAAAAGAAATAATAAAATAAAGGGTCAGGGGTGTGAAAGTAAACAGGGGTTAGAGTTCAGCAAAAATAAAAGCCCAAAGGGGGGAAGCCCATGCGCTGTTGCAAACAAAAATAGAGAAACAAAAAATATGAAAAAATGACAAAACGGACGCTGGGGCTCGAACCCAGGTCCTAAAGGTGACAGGCGCGCGGTTTAACCACTGGGGTGGTGATACATCCGTTAACTTAAACAAAACAATAAATATGTAACATAAGTTTTGTCCTGAATGAACTTCATCTTCAACCTCCAGCCAAAGAACCTGTAGCTCATTCATTTCTCATCCATTCACAAAACTTCCAACATCAAACTTGTTAGAAATTTCCTCACGAATCTTAATATGTAAATAACTTAAGCTAATTCTCAAAGATGAGCATGAATTTCTAACACTACCAAATTCTGACCTAAATATTTTCAGAGATTCAAACTTAAAATTCGCCCTACTCAAGCAACATAAATGAAATCTATGGACATATATAGTTTCAGGGAAATGATGTCTACATTTTATCTTCACAAATGTAAGCCTAACAATGCCTAAATATGAAGATAGAAGTTCAAGAAAAATACCTCAAATTTGGAAATTGTGAAATGAGTTTGAGCTTGTTTCAAGGTGCTGCAATGATCAGGTTAGCTTCCTTGAGTCTCTAGGAAGCTAATTCAATGCTTAGCTTGAGTTGAGAGTTGCTGGAATGGTCTGGAGAAGTCCAACTGCAATGCTCTGTGTTTGGTTATGGAGGATGGTGGAAATGGAGTTACATTCGTGTAACAGGGACAGTGATGGTTTGTATTTGATGCAAGGAAGCTTTAGGAACTAAAAGGCCAAAGAACGCACGAGGGAAATGGAAGTTTGAAGTTCAAAGTCAGAAACTGTGCAACAATGGATTTTTTGGGCAATTTCTGATTTGGGGGAGTTTGGGAGTGTTTTAAATCATGTGTTTTCTTGAAAATAACTTGTATAGTCATAAGCAAGAGATCTTAGGGTTTGAAGTTGACAGATTTGTGAGATATAAAGTTATGGCTATGTTGCTTGATTTTGAAGAAAAGTGGGAAAACAAGTTTCAATGTGTTGTACAAGCATGGTCTGAGTTGATAGGAGGTTCTAGACATGTTTCTTTTAGTTTTAACTTTTCTTGTGTTCATATTAAACAAGTTAGGAGCTCTATGCATTGACTTTGTGATTAAATTCACTTTTCCAAAATGGAAGTGTGAAATTTGTTCCATTAATAGAATAATCACTTGGACAATGACTCAAGCACTTAGATCATAGCTCAAATAGTTGTGTAATCTTCTAATTATGGATATATTTAGAGGTTAGAAGCCTGAAAAGTAAGATTTATGCAGCATGGGTGTGGATTGGATCAAATGTTCATCATGAAAATGACTTGAGAAATAAGTTTGAAACCCTAACTTCTTGCCTTCGATTCTTTTAGCTCAAGCATGATCTCAATGAGTTCTTAGACATTTTAGAAAGCTTATAACATCCTCTACAACCTATATGTTTGAAATTTTTGAAAATTCATCTTGGAAATATGTGAAAATTTTCCATGAAGTTAGGTCAAAATCCTGCCTAAACTAGGGCAAAATTTCACTAAGTTTCCAAGTTTCATGAACATGTATTCACAAAATCATAACTTGAAATCCATGCATTTCTAGGAGAATTTGTGTTTTACAATGTTTTATATATCATTGAGATCTACAACTTTTATGTTGGAAGTTTCCTTTGAATCATCTTGTATCATGGTGAAAAATTGGCTCAAAGTTGTGAAAAAATATGAAGTTTTCAACACTTAGAAAAATTTCTAAGTTTAGAAATTTTGACTTTTCAAAATGAAATCTTGGATTTTTGATTTCTTGATGAACAAGTTTCATATTTTGACATGTTTTGATGAATTGTGATCTTTGACACTTGATTGTGACCAAAAAGTCAAAGTTTGACTTTTCAGTGCACAGTTGACTTTTCATCAGTTGACAAAAATTCATCTGTCATTCAATCAATCTTGAGAGATGTTTTGAGCCATGCCATTAGGTCAAAATGATGCATTTTAATCCTTGAGATCATAACTTAAACCAATCAATCATTTTTCAAGTCAAAAATCAGAAATTGCACCTTCTTAGTAAAAACCCTAATTTTTATCATTTTGCCCTTTTGATGATCTGATCAAATTTCTTGAGGAAATGTGA